GCTTGGCTATTTAAATAGGCAGCCATTTTAAAGCCTTCACTTTTAATTACTACCTTGCTGAGTTTGTCCCGCCCACCCTCCCTGAATTTGGTTCGGACTTGGGTTATCCCGTTTTTTCACAGCGGCGGGATAGGGAGCTGAAGGAGAAGAAATAGGCTCCCTAGGATGAACGTCATGGAGACGTAAAACTGTGGTCATTGGTGGTTGGTAGGTTCCGAGTCCTGTCGGTGGCTCAGAATCTGGTGGGGCAGGGGTATCCGGGTATACCCCTGCCATGGTTAATTTATGTTTGGCACTTTAAGTTGGTATGTTGGAATATGTTGATACGTATGTTATATGTTATATGTATATGTATATATGTTATTTATATGGGGGTCATTGCCTGTTATATTAACAGAAGGATTCGGTTACGAGGGCGGAGTATGGGGGCAATGACCCATGTTTATTGATAAAATTATTATTGCTTAATAAATTATTATTATTCAAGATTGGTTAAATAAAGCTGTGGACAAATTTTCCCATATACCTTTGTGTCAGTGAGTTATTGGGTTGGGTATGTGGGAGGGTTGTCCTGGAGTCCGACTGCCCATATGGCGACTATACACCGGTCATGCAGTATTACAAACACCTGCACCTTTGTATTTCACTAGATGTGATCACATATAAAAGTAATCAAATTGGTCATTAAAATTCCATCGCAGACAATGTATAAACAGTGGGCAAAGTCCAACATTTTCTAAATCTCTTTATTGCACTGCAGCTCTCCACCCTTTCAATTTGATCCATTCAGTAAATTTAGGGGCAAGCGTCTGTCGCTGCTGATTGCTTCCATTGTTTTCTGGCTTGGTTACATTTCTCTATGTGTTACTGTCGCACTTGCTACCAAACAGAGACTGAGATGAACAATTAAAGTGAAATGACTGATATCTATTGTTAACAAAGACTGCAGTGACTGATATCTAGAAGTTATTGCAGGGCAGTTTCTGTTCCTGGAAGGGTGGTGGAGCGTGGAGTGGACAGGCAACTGATGCAATTTACAGAGGACAGGTGCAGCAATGGCTACGGAGGGGGGGAGAGAGGGGGGAATTTGTGATGATGGAAATGTGGTGGTAAATCCTGCTTCCTCCATCTGGCTGATGCAATACACAGCCAGCGATGCATCATCTTAAGCACCAGGTCCAGCCTTTCTTTATATCCCCCATCCTGCCCCCTTTCCTGCCTGGTTTCTATTGCTCCCTTCTTCTTCTGTTTCCCACTGAAGGGTTTAAAAAAAAAAAAAAAAACCCAGAATAGTAGCGATTTAAAAATGTAATTGCAAAATTTAGGCAAAAAGTGCTGATTTGCTAAAATTCTCCCACTGAACTTCTTTTACAGCTTGTTATTTTAGATGCGATCTTGCAACTTGATTTTTAGCTCACTAGAATTCTTTGTTAACTTTAGAGTATAAATAAACGTGTGTCAGATCAAGAATACAGGATGTATAAGGTCTTTACTTCTAAAAGATCAGCGGGGGCAGATAATCTATTCCTAGTTACAAACCCACCTGTAAATATTAGTATTTAAAATGAAGGATGAATTTTCATTTACAAAGAAACTATTTATTCCTTTAATCCAAGTATAATTTAATGGCAGGCTGAACACCAAACATCATAGAGTCCCAGCTAAAAAAAAGCAAAGGAAAATATACAAAACATTAAAATATGGATGGATGTGTAACTTTTTTATTTCTTGTTTTGTCGTAATATATCATACGTCTCAGAATACTTTTACATTTTTTTGTCCGCTCAACAAAGGGTTAAACCACTCACTTGATCTTTCAAGTTATATTACAAGGACATGCAAACCCTTTCACGACACACGTTATATCATGGCATGGTGCTAGCAGTTCAGGGGTTAATTATCCAGCGCTACGCCAATGACCTGAGGTTCTGCGCCATGCATGAATAAATTCAGGTTTGAGGTTGACGTACATTTTTGCTCTCTTTGTGCATTTCAAAACAATTGTTCTGACACCACTGTGTAAATTTCACTATAAATTAAAAAAAATACTACAAGTATTAACCAGTTTTATTATGCACTGAATTTAATCTCGCTCAGATTACTTCCTGCAGGCATTAACTCCGTGGACTCTGAGCACGTACTGACACTAGCGACAGACTGAGCACTGTCTGTTGCAGTAACATGGGGATGTGAGACTTAAACTGATGCAATAAAGAAGGATCCAGTGTGCTGTGTTTGTCCAGCGCATTTACTCTAAGCATGGGACGTGTGGCATGGAGGTGTGGTAGTGTATCCTGGTTCCACCTTCCAGCTGATGTAAGCTAAAGCTGGCAACGTTTAATCTTCTTTATCCACAGACGTGTCTCCCAGAACCACTAACACCTTCGCTCCTGACTTACACACTAAGCACAGCACGCCAGCAGTGCGGGAGGGCAGAGAGAGCTGAATTCAATGAGGCCTGACTGGCAGAGTTTGCTAGACAAGCTGGGCAGTGCTCTTCTGTACGCATGGGGTGGGCACTGAATAGTAACAATGGTGAATTTAGGAACAATACATGGTGGGGGACACAAAGATACCACAGTTAAGACAGGGGGTACACTAAAAATGTCCACCACTAATTCATATTAGTAGTGGTCGCAGGGCTGTGGGTATAGAGAAGGGTGAGGGGCTGTAGTGGGTGCAGGGGATAACAGAGGCTTTAATAGGAGCAGGGGGCCAAGGCATGATTTAGAGGGGGCAATTCCCCCCTGTAGTGATGCCTATGAATGGTAAGCTATCAGTGTGTGTATTCATGTAAGAGGAGAGGCAGGGCGGGATGAAATTACTGTGTGTTCATGGGGAGAGGCAGCATGGCAGGACTAGTGTTGCAGTCGGTGTTTCTGTAGGACAGCGCACGCTATGGTGCAGAGGATTCTGGGTAACATGTCCGTGCTGTGTCTGGGTATAAGGAGAACTAGTGTAATGCTGTTTTGTGTATAACCGGAGATGCACTGTATAGCAGGGAGTCCTAGGGGCCTGTGTATCATAACTCCCAAGTGTCCCTACTTAGGATGTACAGTCCCTATTTTGAGGACAAATCCCTCTTCCTGTTTTAAATCCTAATTTCCCTCTTTTCTATCCTAATTTCCCTCTTTTTTTAGAAGCTCTGTATTGTAGGTTTGTCTGAGTGTATAACAGAGCTCCACAGCCATAATGCTCCCAGTAATGTGTCTTTAAAGGACCACTATAGTGCCAGGAAAACACTCATTTTCCTGGCACTATAGTGCCCTGAGGGTGCCCCCACCCTCAGGGTCCTCCTCCCGCCCAGCTCTGTGGAGAGGAAGGGGTTAAAACTTACCTTTATTCCAGCGCCGGACGTGGAGCTCTCCTCCTCCTCTCCGCCCCTTCGGCTGAATGCGCACGCGCGGCAGGAGCTGCGCGCGCATTCAGCCTGTCTCATAGGAAAGCATTTCTAATGCTTTCCTATGGACGCTGGCGTCTTCTCACTGTGATTTTCACAGTGAGAAGCACGCAAACGCCTCTAGCGGCTGTCAATGAGACAGCCACTAGAGGCTTTGGAGGCTGGATTAACCCATTTATAAACATAGCAGTTTCTCTGAAACTGCTATGTTTATAAAAAAAGGGTTAATCCTAGAGGGGCCTGGCACCCAGACCACTTCATTAAGCTGAAGTGGTCTGGGTGCCTAGAGTGGTCCTTTAAACTACAATAAATGTCTATGTAAAAAAGATACATTGTACATGTTCTAAATTAAATTAAATTTTTGTTGCATAAATTGTTATTATTAGTCACCTAAAATTCAGAGCAGTCCGCTCCTCGGCAACCCTTCTCCACCCCCACCCAGAGGTTAAAGACTATAAGCTTGTTTGAGCAGGGTCCTCATCAACCTATTGACCATGGAACATGTTGTAATTGTCTCATTTATTGTTACATTTCCCCCTTTTAGAATACTGTAAAGCACTACGGAATAAGCTGGCACTATATAAATGCCAATAATAATACTAATAATTATAATATAGATCATATGGCAATATACTATGTAATAGGTTAATTCACTAAAATCCAAACCACGGGACTCGAAAGTTACCGTGTAATGTAACCAAGCTGTAAAGTCAGTCTGCAGCTTAACATAAACGTATTACGTTGAGTTCCGAGTAAACCTTTCAGACGGCAGTGCAGAACTTTTCACTGGATAAAAAAAACCTCAGAATTTATTGTAGGGGCAGGTCCTGTGTCATTTGCTTATTGGGTGTTATCCACTGGTGATGTCAGTGAAGTGTGTGTGTGTGTGTGTGTGTGTATATTATATTCACTGTTCCCTTCTGATTGTTGGCACATTGCTAGTGGGGAGGGGTTGGGGAACATTGAATAATTATATGGTTCTTTATGGCTAGAACATGTAAAATTTACGTCCTCATGTACATTGGCCTGGTTTTAATTAACCAATATTGCAGTGGGGCCCAGGGAAAGCGGTCCATGGTCATGCTACATTTTAATTCCATTCAGAGTCTCACCCTCCCTGCAGTTAGTCATTTGTAATACTCCCACCCTTTACAAAGCATTTATTTCCATGGCAGAGGCTGCCGAGCATAGTAGTGAGACTGCGTGTATTAAATGTCTGCAGCGTGTGGTTTTGTCCCACAAATCCTGGTTCGTCCTCTAGCTGATGTAATAAGCATACGTTATGTCTAATCTTCTAACTGCCGAAGACAACACCCCCCCAATAAATACTTCCTTGTAGACTTTAAGAGACTTTTTTAATAAACAGAGATTTATGTGACATTGAAAACAGACATTGAAAAATACAAACAAAAAACCCCCCAAAAAACAATAAAACAACTGCCATGTTTAGCACTTTATAGAGATTAACCAGATACATTTTTCAAACTGTTTTCAAGCTGTTCGGCCACCATTTTGTGAGATTGGTTTGGTTTGGTGAATCAACCCCCAAGTAGGGACTAGTTACTTTAGGGTGAAGCTCAGAGAAGAGAAGTTGGAGGGAGATTGTTATTTTTTTTGTTATATAGCACCAACATTATAAGCAGCGCAGTATAATAGCAGAATAAAAACATAAAATTAAGTCGAACTGTAATTTTTAATGAGGAAGAGCTTGCCCAGCCTTAATGGTAGTTCTATAATAGCTGGAGATCTACTTTTTGTTTTGTCCTCAGTTCTAGAGTTTGCACCAGGACATATAATTTGCTACCATTATGACCGGATTATATTGATGGCTATTATACAACAGAATCACATGTGGATGTAATGAAATCCCAAGGCTTATTTCCAGCAGTCTTACATTACCGGCTTAATTCTGAGAAACATTGCAAATAATACTTGTTTCTTTCATAGCAGCTGAGGATATATTTGGAAATATATTCAATTAACATGGATGTTTATACAGAGAGGGTACAGTGTGTAACTTGGAACATCAACAGATTGCCTAAATTAAAAAAAAAATTAAAAAAAATTAACAGCTTCTTAAAAAACCCAAAATGACCCGTGCTATCATTCAAATACCATCTAGACTGGGTGAGAAAATATGTCTAATCCTAGTAAGTAAATCACGGTCCGTTTGGGGAATTCTAGATCTCTGTGGAAGTATCATATCACGGTTTCATCTATTAATGAGTCCATAAAGTCAGATAAATAGCATAGTTTTCTTTTTTTAACTCTTGATTCTTTGGTCTAAGTTTTGCATCTTGGCTATCCACTCATTATTCAAGAGGTTAATTGCAATTTCCTTATCATAATCCCATGTATAGTAAATGAACACCTTAGTTTAAAGAAATACTTTAGTTACCATAACAATTTCATCTAAATTAAGTTGTTATGGTGTCATAAAGCACCACTGCGCTCTTTTGCCTTAAGGGTTTAAATCATTCTCAAACAGTTTAACCCCAAAGGCTGCCGCCAACATCGATCTCCAGGTCCCCTAGGCAGCATCCGATTTCTGAATCTGAGTTACAGGGAATGCAAAGTGCCACCGGGCAGGGCCGCTGCTGATTGGCTAGATCCCCATTCGTAAAAACAGTTACGTACCTTCTATGTACCACATGGGGAGAATCGATAAATGATTAATGTAGGATAGAAACATTTGTGAGGGAAAGATAAATAAAGAGAGGAGGATTTAAGGAAATATAATGGGTAGAAGGGAATTGGAAACTCAATGCACACACACACCTGCATACATGCACACTAACCCGTCACAATATACGCATACATGCACACTAACCCGTCACAATATACGCATGCATGCACACTAACCCGTCACAATATACGCATACATGCACACACTGGCACTCTGCAAAATACCCAACAGAATTCACACACTAACACTCCTCAAAAATCTACCCCTACATTCACACACATAGCAATACCCCATTGCTATTTCCTGTCCTAATGTGTTTTACACCCCACCTCCTATAGACTGTAAGCTTGTTTGAGCAGGGTCCTCTTCAACCTATCGTTCATGTAAGTTTTCTTGTAATTGTCCTATTTATAGTTACATCCTCCCTCTCATAATATTGTAAAACACTACGGAATCTGTTGGCGCTATATAAATGGCAATAATAATAATAATAATAATAATTAATACTTGGATGCATATATTTATTAATAACATTGAAATGTTGCTTTTTTTTAAACTTATGTCCAAAGTCCCCATTCGTTAAGATAGAAAATAGCATTGATATAGAGTGTCCTCCGCTAATCTGATACCTCTCATAGAGAAGCATTAAATTCAATACTTCTCTATGCGTAGTTCTTAAAAACATTCAGCATTATCATACCACCCTCACTGATGCACAACCGGAAGCCCTTCCATATGTCCAGAATAAGGGGACAGGGTAAATGCTCTAACAACACTTTATTAAGATTAAGGGATTTTAGAGTGTCACCTCCCAGTCATTATAACTATACACACACCCTTCTTACTTCCTATTCACTTACACACATACACACACCCTGCCACAAAACCTCCACCTCACCTCTACTAACACATATCCTGCCACAAAACCTCCACCTCACCTCCACTTACACACACCATGCCACAAAACCTCCACCTCACCTCCACTTACACACATCCTGCCACAAAGCCCCCACCTAACCTCCATTGACACACATACACACACCCTACCACAAAGCCCCCACCTAACCTCCATTGACACACATACACACACCCTACCACAAAGTCCCCACCTAACCTCCATTGACACACATACACACACCCTGCCACAAAGCCCCCACCTCACCTTCACTTACACACATACACACACCCTGCCACAAAGCCCTCACCTCCACTAACACACATACACACACCCTGCCACAAAGCACCCACCTTACCTTCTCTTACACATACACCACCAGTCACTTTCACCTGTTCACCTTGTAACATACCCTAATCCCTTACCTACCCAGTGACACACTCCCTCCTGACACATTCACACGCAATTTGCCTACTTTCATTCCGTCACACATTGCCATTCACCCACCTATCTGGCACATACTCTGAACCGGTCAATTTCTCCTACTTAGCTCACCTCCCAGCTATACACACTCACTCTGTGACATTCACACACATGGCCACCTACCTCCACCCATTTGGTCACATATTGCCATCCAACCATCAACCTAGTCATGTTCACTATCCAATCATACCCCCACCTATTCATGCTCATCCATCTAATCACATACAGAGAACGTTACATATATGTAGGTAAAAGGGGCTGTGGCGCACTGAGAAAACCTGGCCTTGGGGCAGCAAAGAGGGTAAATTCGGCCCTGCTCCCACTGCTTGTAATCAGCAGACAAATGGCGCTGTAACCCCTGTACGCTAGCGACCCTGGGGGCTCCACCCCTGCAATAAGTCATTAATGCACAGGTACACATAGGGCTGCCAGATAGAACATGTTAATTGTTACATTCAAATGCTGGACATGCAATCCATTCTTTAATCATTGAGGAATCCTGCAATTTGTAAAGGGGTCATTGTGCAGGTAGCACTTTTCATGTGCTGTCCCTCTAAGTGAATGAGTCATAGGGATCCATGAACAAGATGATGGATCTTGCATCCCTTATTTATTGTGCATGTTGGAAATGCTAAATGATGGTTGCTACAAAAAAAAGAGAAGTTCCCTGACTACTGATAAGGCATTCGTGGCTTACGGAAAGAGAAGATAAAATAACAGTGAAATTGCTGTCACTCATCTCACACTAATATGGTCTAACATTCCCCCATATCTGGGTAAGGGTTTTAAAGAAATGGTTCTTCTTTTTCTAAAGTCTGTTATTAAAAGATAAAATTGTCTGAAGCAATCCATCCTGTCCCAATGGCTCCCTGGGAGTTATGTTATCAGCAGCCGAAGGTCCAGAAACTGATCATTCTTCGACCAGCAAATCCTCTGTCAGTTTTACAAGTTCCTCCAATTCTCAACTCCTAATTAGTTTTTTTTCTCTTGCCACAAACTTTCTTATAATATGTCCACAAATTGCTCATAACCATATCTAACTTGCTCACTGCGACACCTTAATGGGACAGAGAGGCCAGTGTTTCGCCAATTGCCAGAAATTCACACTGGCAATGATTTCAACAAATTACATTATGCATGTTTTAAATATCATCAGCAAGTCACTGCCTTTGTAAAAATGCAGTAAAGGTCTTTTTCACAATGTTTCACAATGAGAATTGTAATTTTGTTTTGTAGAAACTATTTTGTTATATACATTGCAAAGGAACAGGCCATTCAGCTAATTCTTCTAATAGAGGGGGTCAGCTGATGCACTCAGCGTGTCAATCATATCCAATTATGGATGAAACGAATATTGCTGGGCGCTGGGCTCCTCAGAAATTTCCAGTTTTGGTCAAACCAGTTGAAAATATTTTTGTAAAGAATGGGTCAAGGTATCCACAACTGTAGTGGTTATGGTGCTTAGACTGCCCTTTTAAACTTTTATTTTTCATCAATGTGAGCCTCCATGTTCTTTTACATTCATATTAAAGATTTAGCAAATTACACCATCATAATACAATTTGTTCTTATCACGACACGTCGTCAACTTTAATGAAGGGACTCAGATTGTGAAGGTAAATGTGTCTGTAATTGCAAAAATCATTTTACTCCATTTCAGAGTTAGAAACATAGAATGTGACGGTAGATAAGAACCATTCGGCCCATCTAGTCTGCCCAATTTTCTAAATACTTTCATTAGTCCCTAGCCTTATCTTATAGTTAGGATAGCCTTATGCCTATCCCACGCATGCTTAAACTCCTTTACTGTGTTAACCTCTACCACTTCAGCTGGAAGGCTATTCCATGCATCCACTACCCTCTCAGTAAAGTAATACTTCCTGATATTATTTTTAAACCTTTGTCCCTCTAATTTAAGACTATGTCCTCTTGTTGTGGTAGTTTTTCTTCTTTTAAATATAGTCTCCTCCTTTACTGTGTTGATTCCCTTTATATATTTAAATGTTTCTATCATATACCCCCTGTCTCGTCTTTCCTCCAAGCTATACATGTTAAGATCCTTTAACCTTTCCTGGTAAGTTCTATCCCGCAATCCATGAACCAGTTTAGTAGCCCTTCTCTGAACTTTCTCCAAAGTGTCAATATCCTTCTGGGGATACGGTCTCCAGGGATTTAACCTTCGTGTGTCTAAACTGTGGAAATAAAAGGAACAGACAAGGCAAGAACATTACTATGCCTCTGGGAGAGTCTCGGTGACAATCTGCCAATATCTGTCACTCAATAGGAAGCATATGGCCTAATGAAATAGCTGTACAGAGGGGTGTGGATCAGCAAGCACATGAGATCAGAGCTTTGCTGCCTCCTTCTGGCCATATAGGGCAATAAACAATGAACCCAAAACCAAATGTCATTTTTACGTCATGTACTGAGTAAGATATTTAGAAGGCTAAGGACCAATTGGACATTTAAGGGAATATGGACTAAAAATCAAACAGTAAAATGTAACCTACATAGCCCATCTACATCTATAGCAGATTAGGACATTTCTAAATCAGATATTTTAGTCTAAATTTTGCAATTAATGTTTTAATTCATTAAAGTTTGAGGTTTAAAAAAAACAACCCTTTAGTTCATATTTTGCCATGTTTACAAAAAAACAAAACAAATCCAATATGTATCTAAAACTTGTGAAAGCACAGCTCAAAAGCTCTTGGCTTCAATATTTGTTGGGTGCTTCCCAAGCAAAAAAAACAAACCTTTAACAGTTTGCATTTTTAAATCCAACACAAAAAAGTAGCAATTACTGTTATTTTTGATTCACTTTCTTTCTTTATAATTTTATTTTCATTAACGCTACTTCATTCTGATAGAATAACCAGACTATAAAATGCAGAACTGAATACAAATCATTGATTTTCTCAGTTAAACAGACTCATTGCTCATAAATTCATACTTTTTGCCATAATAATGCTAAATGTGATACTCACTATAAGTGTGATTTTTTTTTTTTTTTAAATCCATGGTGAATTTTACATCGAAGGCCAACATTGGCAAAGTGTTAAAATTTCACAAGGCAATTCTGTTAGTCAAGCCCAAATATTTGAAATTAATTTTGGGCTCATTATCCACCGTCACGCCTCTGTCAACATCCCAAAAATTCCACAGCAAAGGGAAAATACTCCTGGGCAGTGTGCAGCATTCGTATGCTGGCGAAGAAAAATCAATAAATAATAGATTGATCACCTAGCAACTCGTTTATTCACTTAACACTGAATTGCCAAATTCTACCTAAAATAGCCCAAACAATAACTAGAGCAGAGTTAGAAGACATTTTCCAAATGAGAGTCTAGCCACATTTTGTAATTTAGTTTAAAAAAACCTTGAGATTGACAGCTCTCCCTCATGGAAAGCAGGAATGAGAGAACTTTTCACTTCGTGCTTGATGACACGATGAATGTGTGTGTTTCTCATTAAGAAGATGGTTTAAAAGACAGGGTCAAAAAGCAATCTGTTAAGTTCACACAAAAGGATTAATGAGGGCAAACTAGTTAAAGGGATGTACATACTCTTAATTCTCAGGGGCTATCAACCTCCCTGATGTCATTGATGTTCGCACATGTTTATCTCACCCCAGCAGCTTATTTATTAGGGGTGTGTGAGTTTTATCACGCTCATCCTACATCCTCTCTCCACCCAACACAGGCATTTAAAAGGGACAGAGACACCAAATAAATAAATATATTTATAACATGACAACGGCATAACTGTAGCCGTGCATAGACCTGCAGTTTACGCAGAGCACAGATGAACCGCACATCGAACCGAAGTAGGTGCATTTAACGTGCCAGTGTATTTCCCAACCGATCAACAGTGAGAAATACAGCTAGCCGATAACCAAGTTCATCTCAAATCGCTCATATCACTTTAACAGGGAACTGGCACTTCCCGTTTTCAATATAATGTTAATTTTTCCCCATTGTATTTAACAAATATATGTCTGTGAGATTTAAGAAAAGAAAAAAAAAATCTTATACCTTATCACTGCAACAAGTGTCCGAGGTTTAACGAAAATAAATTTCCACGCATAGCAACTGAAAAGGTGGAATTTAATGGGAGAGGAGGGGACCTTATGAAGAAGTTAAGGAGGAGAGAAGGTTTCTGGATTCATATTATACAAACCCTACAGCCCAATGGTTTAAATGTTGATTTTGATAGTATTTGCTTTTTATGATTTATTTATTTTTATTGTTATTATATTTATTTTGATTAATTTTTTATTTCATTTTAATTTTATTTTCATATTTTATTTATTTTGTTGTTGATGTTTACTAATAAATCTAATTGGGTAGGAATATATAGATACTAAAATTTACTAATTTATGTTTATTTTATTTCATATTATTTTTCATTCTTTAATATCATCACTAATATGACTAATAACGTCTACAATACTAATCATAGTATTTTTAGTTCTTTTTATTATTTTTATATTACTTTACATTATTCATTATCTTTTCCATTCTTTATTTATTCATTTTATTTTTCATCTAATTATATTTTTCATTTTCATTGTTTTATTATTTTTGTTATTAAATTCTTTTTCCCTTTATATTTGTTAAGATTTCTTTATATAATTTCTATTTTAGCACATTTTTCTTTTTTTCTCTTGATCCCATTTATAGCCATTGGATGTTATCCAGATTTAACATGATATATCTCCTACTAACTTCTGATTTCCCCTTTTCTTACCAGCCTCTATTAAGTGTACAACTGGGTTTTAAACTGTTATTGACACATATTTTTTTTGTTTTGTTATGCTTGTATCTGGACTCTTAAAGGACCACTATAGTGCCAGGAAAACATACTTGTTTTCCTGGCACTATAGTGCCCTGAGGGTGCCCCCACCCTCAGGGTCCCCCTCCCACCAGACTCTGGGGGGAAGGAAGGGGTTAAACTTACCTCTTTTTCCAGCGCCAGGCGGGGAGCTCTCCTCCTCCTCTCAGGAGCCGCACGCGCATTCAGCCAGTCCATAGGAAAGCATTCTCAATGCTTTCCTATGGACGCTGGCGTCTTCTCGCTGTGAAAATCACAGTGAGAAGTGCGGAAGCGCCTCTAGCGACTGTCAATGAGACAGCCACTAGAGTCTGGATTAACCCATTTATAAACATAGCAGTTTCTCAGAAACTGCTAATGTTTATGGAAAAAAGGGTTAATGCTAGCTGGACCAGGCACCCAGACCACCTCATTAAGCTGAAGTGGTCTGGGTGCCTATAGTGGTCCTTTAATTCAAACAAACAATCTCCCAATCTCACTATATGACTTGGACCGCATACGCAACGGAGAGTGGAACGCAAGCGTCATCATGAATGGAACGCACTGATGGCGCCCGGGGGGAGGGGTGTACTGTGGGTTTTTATGGTGCATGACTGTCTACTGAATTTTGATTGTCCCTGAGGAAGTACGTGTAAATGTATGAAACGCTTAGGACTGTTTATTTATGTTTTTAACTCGAGGGCTGCTGCAATACCCTTTTAAATTCCAAGCAGGAGTTCCAGTGGATATGGTGATATGCCTGTATTGTTTTAAATCTTGTAAGTGTGACCAATAAATGTTATCCTTTTAAACATATAAAAGGAGAAACAGGGCTTTCATGTCACATCAAATATTTGTATATTAAACATGATTTAACACGAATAAAATATGAAATAATTTGAGAAATTAAGAAATTTTGTTATTTTTTAGTTCTGCCTGGCATTTTAACTGTGAATGTCATAATACTGTTAGCTGTTACTGTAATAAAGTACACATATTTGTATTCAGCGATGTCTCACGATTATAACAGTACAGTCCATGTACAGATTTTATGGTGGTTTAGAAAGTTACAGGGTCAAAAATAGCACATTACATTTTTCAGTTTATACATATTGAAGTATGCCAGACTAGTAATGTTACCTTTGAGACCAATTGGTAGCCCAGGAATGAGAATTACCCCAATGATAGCATACCATTTGCAAAAGTAGACAACCATAAGTATTACAAATGGGGTATGTCCAGTCTTTTTTTAGTAGCCACTTAGTCACAAAAACTGGCCAAAGTTAGCATTCATTTTTGTTGTTTGTTAAAAATGCAAAAAAACTAAATTGAACGCTAATCCGCTTCTCAGTGGTCTTACGTGCTCCCAACTTGTGCCATTACAGTCCATAATGAATGCGGCGGCAAGGCTCATGTTCCGTTCCACCCGCACCTCACGCTTCTGTCAGTCCCTACATTGGCTTCCTGTAAGATACAGGGCTCGATTTAAAATTCTGGTTCTTGCTTTGAAATCTCTACATAATGCTGCTCCCACCTATCTATCCTCCCTTATACACAAGTATGTCCCGTCTAGGACCTTACGCTCTGCTGAAGACTTACGTCTATCTTCTGTCCGTACTCCCACCTCTAATGCTCGCCTTCAAGACTTCTCGAGGGCTGCACCGTTCCTGTGGAACTCGCTTCCCTCCTCCATTAGATGCTCACCCAGTCTCCACTCCTTCAAAAAAAATCATTAAAAACCCACTTCTTCATAAAAGCGTATCAATTAAACTGTTAATAGCTCCTGACTGATTCCTCTTCTGCAACTGTCATTAGTCTAACACTATCCTTACCTTTTTTTGTCATTTTACCCCACTCCCTCTAGCATGTAAGCTCATTGAGCAGGGCCCTCAACCCCTCTGTTCCTCTGTGTCCAACTTGTCTGGTTACAACTACATGTCTGTTCGTCCACCCATTGTAAAGCGCTGCGGAATTTGATGGCGCTATATAAATAACATAACATATATAGATATATGTATTTAGACAGTCATTCTAAATGTATTTTGAATTTAATATATGTATATTAATATCAAAATACAGTTAGAACAAATTAAAACCGGCATATAATTTTTTAAAATTTTATTTCATTTTTTTTTTTATTGATTATTTTATATATTATATATATACACACACACATACATATCCAAAGAGGTAGCAGCACTCACAGGGTTAAAAAGTCCAATCTTTATTTTTCAGGACTTTCATCAGGATCAATACATACATACATACATCTTAAAAACCACCATTTATATTGGCAGATATAATGGCTAAATTGACTTACCCCCAGGTGATGTGAGACCATTTAGCCATTATATCTGCTTATATAAATGGTGGTTTTTAAGATGTATGTATGTAGGTATGTATTGATCCTGATGAAAGTCCTGGACATAGGACTGAAATGTTGATCGTGATTTTAATAATTTAAAATAAAGATTGAACTTTTTCACCTCCTTGAGTGCTGCTACCTCTTTAGATACGTAGCTATCAGGGCCCTGGCTATGTGGCACCCGGCAACTAAGGGAAATTTAAGCGTGAGTACAGAGATTTTCTACTTTTGTTTGTGTGTGTGTATATATATATATATATATATATCCACACACACGATCTAAGTACTTTTTATTTAATTTAGAAACTGTTTTGTAACTTTAAAAAAAAACTTTTTTACAGGCATGAGGGGAACTGAGCTATCAGGCAGACCCTAGGATCGCGACCCAGGTGTGGGATCGGCAGGGACCGGGTAAGTATGAAGGACGGCGGGGACATTCTATGCCACCCGCCGGTGCTTAGGACTGATTCAAGAAGGACAGCATAGAATACCCGCCGTCCTTAAGGGGTTAAGAAAAAAAATGTCCTTTTAAGGGCCACTATAGTCACCAAAACAACATCAACTTAATAAATCAATTTTTGTGTATAGACCAGCGGTTCCCAAACTGTGTGCCGTGGCACGTTTCCTCAGTGCTATGATTTTAGAACCGGGGAAACATTACTGCTCAACAGGGACCCGGTCGAGTGCCACGCTTCTTTAAGACAGCTACCAGGCCCCTGTAATGTCGGCCAGCTGGGAGGAAGTGACAGTCTGTCACTTCCTCCCAGCATCCTGCAGGGAGACAGCATGGGAGGGAGAGGAGGCAGCCGCAGCATAAGTGGAGAGGAGCACGAAGAGCTCCAGACACCTCACTCCCACTAGCAGCAGGACTCCAAGCCACCCTCCTGGCACATAAGGTAAAAATCACAAAAAAAATCACTTGTGTGTGAGTGTATGTGTGTGTATCTGTATGAGTGTTTGTATGTGTGTGGGTATGAGTATGTGTAGGAGCGTGTGTGCGCGTATATGTAGGAGCATGAGTGTGTGTGTGCGAGTATCGTGATTGTGAGCATGAGTGTCAGTGTATGTGTATTTGTGAATGTGTGTAAGTATGTATGTATGTATGTAGTAGTGTATGTGCATACATCCAAGCAAACACCAGCACAAACCTACAAGCACACTCCTGCAATCCAACACAAATATTACATACAAACACACCCCTGCATTCAAACTCAAAAAAATATATACAAACACACCCCTTCACTCAAACACAAATACTTCACACAAATGTACATCCACATTTAAACATGATCATTACATTAAGACATGCCCCTGCATTTAAAAACAAACATTACATACAAACACACCCCTGTATTAAAACACAAAATATACACAAACAGCCCTTCGTACACCAATACTGTACATTACACTATAGCGGCATTAAATGCTGCAGTGCTGTACAAATATACAACCTAGAAATTTTGACTTGGGGTGCCTTGGAAAAATGAAATATTAAGGGCGCCTGGAACCTAACAAGTTTGGGAACCACTGGTATTTGACCATGGCCCTACAATTTCACTGCTATATTCTTGGTCATATAGGAGTTAATTCAGTTTGTTTGTGCAGCAATAGTCACACAGCTGTTCTAAACACTTCCTGAAAACAGACATCTTAAAATTCCTTTATTGCTCATTCTGTTTAATTTAGAATTTCTTATCTCAGGCACTGTTAATAGCCCTTTAGACTTTGCAGAAGCCTTCTGTGTGTTATTCAAGTTCAATTTACAGAGCAGGAAAAAAAAAAATATCTATAGAAAGTTAACATCTGATTGGAAAATTAAGAATTTTTTCATCAGGCTGTGTCAGTCACAGCCAAGGGAGGTGTGCGTGTGGCTAGGGATGTAACTCTTAAATGGCAGAGAATTGAGCATTGAGACTGCAGAGGTATTATCTATATTATCTATACACTAAAATGAATTAATTAAGCTAAAGTTGTTTTGGTGCCTATAGTGTCCATTTAATGAAAGGATATTAAAAAAATATTTTGACATAACAGTTGTCCTTTAAAAGAAAACAAACAGAGTATGGGATGGAAAAAGGTTAACACATGTTATAGGTGATTTTTTCAATGTTCAATAAATTCAGTTTTGTTTTTTTTAAATACGTTTTTTTTTTCATTTCTATCTCAGGATTGGCATGATTCCCTTTTCAGACTTTTTATGCCTACATACCTTTTAGTTGTATTGCACTGCGTCTATCTGCACCCATCTATCATTAATTAATATATATATATATATATATATATATATAATTTGTTTTTTAAACGTGTTACTAGAATGTATCAAAATTGATCTATTGCCACAGTTTAGTGAACTAAACCAGTTATGCTTTACATTATCTTTCTACGTGCCATGTTGTTCTCTTCTACAACAAACAGGTTTTAACTTTATCTCAAACAGAATCAGGGTCACTGCATTATATTTTTGCTATCTATATTACCCACCCAAGTACTCTCTCATTCCTCCAAAATTCAGCAACCAAAAGATTTTACCATGTTGTCGAGTTCACACATTAACGATTTATTGTATCACAACTAAGGTATACAAAAAAGATGGTAGAACATGATTGGCCCAGAGCGGGAGAGGCAAGGAAGGGGAGAGGAGCAGATAGAGAGAGGGACAGAATGGGGCATTATATAGTCATGGGCGGACAGGTTAGGAAGGACATGACTGATACAGAATCGGGCGGAATACTTATACCTCGATGTTTGGTAGAGAGGATAAAATAAAGACAGCTCTGGATACAAGGGGTTATAATTGCAGAGAGAGAGAGAGAGAGAGAGAGAGACTGCTCTTTCTGGATAGGAATGTAGTGATATAATGGATGCCATATAGATCTATGTACACAGGGCACAGCATTGACAAGAGTCCATCTTATTCCAGGGACTGTAACATCAGCAGTTGTTTCAGGACTTTTGTCTGACTGGTTTCTCGAATTTCACCAGCTAGAAACATCTCGTCTACCACTGTATAAACCTGAAAAAGAGAGAGTATGGATAGGGCAGTAAAAAGGAATAATTAGGTAATATACCGCAGGTAATATGGGCAGAGAAAGAGGGAGGAAATGAAATCAGGAGTTTATAAGGACAAAAGGGAACTGACAAATGGACAGGATGAAGGTAGTTAAGGGCAATATTCTTACCTTATAGAAATTAAACACCAGATCTAACTCGCATACATTGTGGAAATATTCATTTAATACCTAAGGAGAGACAAATATGCATGGTAAGAATAAAAATGAATAAATACAATTTCAAAAAAGAGTTTCTTTTTCTGTCCATCTAAGCTGCATTATCTTTATATTCACTCTCCGTACAGCACCCCAACATTCAGTCCCCCAACACTTCCCATGTTTCTTCCCCTATCTCCTCCTGCCATTTGCTCCCTAGCGTACAGTATCCTATTTACTGCTGACTGTATACTGTAACCTACGGTATATTTGTTCTGTCTACAATCCCCCCACCTCCCGTCTTCTTTCTATGTCCTTAGTCCCCAATACGTCTGTTCTAGAATAAAACCCTGTTCTTACCTCTACAAAGTTGTGGATAGCCTCTAGGTAAGCCAGGTTATTATCCGTCACATCCACACAGATACAGAAGTACAGCCCGGCATATCGTCGGTAGATGATCTTAAAATTCCTGAACTGAGGAAGAGGAAAAATAGTTTCACATGTTGTGGAAGATGATGAGACATGGGGAAGATATGGGAATAGGATTCAGGTGGTACTGTAGAGAATAATGGAGAGATGACAGAATGTGGGAACATGTTAAACTCAATTAGGAATGATAACAAATCGTGGGCAGATATGATGGATAGTGCTCAAAGATAACCAACACTTGTTGAGTAGCAAGTGGATAATGCAAAGGTATAAAGACATCACACACAGAAGGAGCAACATGACGGCTCTATCTGAAGATGTTCTACTCTTGATACTTTGGTAAAGTATCTCATACTTGTAGATCAATTAAGTGGATGAGGTTTGAAGATGTTTCAACAGTGGTGGGACACGAGCAGTTAATGTAAGGGCAGAAAGATATCACACTCATGGTGGCATGAAGGGCTTATTTTAAACTCCCTGATATAATTTATATTAAAATCCGAAGCTTTTTTTGTACTACCAAAACCAGTAGCACCATTGATTAGCATTGTCCTAAAATATCAATGCTATTGTCTTCTCCTCTTGGCATAGTATTAAGAGACAGAGAAAATCTATGAGAAGGTCATGAGAAACACTAGCAAACAAAAAAGTGCAGAGGTTAATTAAGGTTAAACTTTTGGTATAACGGTGTCACGGCTCCCCTGTCGGCGTGGTAGCACAAAAAATAAGCAGCCACACTGACAGAGATATTTCTGACTTACCCGGCGGGTACAACTGCCCGGTCTCCCTCCGTTCCAGTACCTAACTGGTGCGACTTTCCTAGAAAAGCCAGCCGCTGCAGTTCGGATTTTTATAGGAAACTTACCTTCGCCCACATCAAAGATGGCACCAATGTGCGTACTATGTCACGTCATAGACACGCACGTTTTGGGGTCAGAGGTCAGAGACAGCCAATTACAGCCTCAGGAGGGTTATTTAAACACAAATTACCTTTTTTCAGTGCCCTGTCGTGGTTTCCACTAGCTGGTTATCAGAGTGTTCCTGATTGCGTTTTTCTGGTATTTGACTTGGTTTTAAATTCCTGATTTCTGGTATCCTTGACTTCCAGCTTTCCTCATCGTTGTGTCTCATTCTGTGTCCCTGACCTCGGCTAGTATTTTTATTATTCTCAGGTACGTTAAGTCCGGCCATTCTAAGGTCCGGTTAGACGTTATCCTTAGTCCTAGGTGTGATACTATTCTGCGCTGGATCAACTATAATCCTGATAAAAGGTGGCAGAGAGGACGGGAGATAATGGCGGAAACAAAGGGAGAAGTCAAATATGATACAAAATTGGAACGATGCAATGATTCCACAATCCGGATTCCTCAGTCTCCCATGATGATTTATGTGACCTGATCTTATCCCATAAACCACTTCCGAGCAGTAATTTGCCAGGTGTGTGGTTTAATCTCAGCAATGTGTCCATTAATCACACGTGAAGAGTGGAACTTCTAAATGAGCTGGTAGAAACCACTGTGCAGCTGCTGTCAGGTTATAAATATTTATTAAATAATCCACTTTTTGGGACTATACACATATGCGCTCAGCTATGGTATGAGGTATCTCTCAGAGTCTGAGGGGGGAAACAAGTGGCATGAATGGCATCCATTCAAGCAATGTGAGCACACTAAAATATTCGTAAGGGTAGATGAGAACGTTGTCATACCTCGGGCTGCTGCACAACACATGCAGCTTCCAGGGTAAGACGCACGGGAGCCACGATTTCTCCAGTCCCACACCACTCCAGCCAGGGAGAACTCTACACCACGCGCCTGTACACCTCCAACATGGAGGCCACGCGGCGTTCCAATGCTTCGGGTGCAAAACATGGTCTGCATGCCCTGACTCTTGCGAGGTCGCCAGATCACTGTGGCAGCCTCATGCCACCAACAGGAGACCTTAGGAATTACAGGACCCTGTAGGTTTATATATATACACACACACACACACATATATATATAAATAAAGACAAATTGTGGTACACATCATCTGCCCTTCACAAGTCACACCCCTTTGTGTGAATTGGTGCAGGGTGATGATGCTGTCCAGTAGAATTTTGGTTGTCTCTATATATACTCCCCTCTTTCTGAGGATCATTGCCCTGTTATAGTTTATTCTAGCCTGAAAGCGCATACTGAGTGGTGGTTGTTTTCCTGTTTCTGATCGGACGTCGTATTGACTATTCTGATTTCGTAATTCCCTGACCTCAGCTTGATAATTTGGATTTTAAGCATCTCTGGCGTCCTTGACCTTGGCTTTATTTGACTCCGAATTTTTGCCTATCGAGGGCTCATGTTAGGTCCGGAATACATATCTCTCTCTGTCTTTTACTACATTTTGGTTTCGGTTTCCCTAAATTCTGTGTGTAGGGGTTACCCTATTCTGACAAAAGCTTGATGCTCTGTCATACCTAAAAAAAAAGACAGGCTTATGGCTGCCAGCTATTATAAGCAATTGTGAACTTGAAAACCATGACAGGAGGACTTATGCAATAAGCGGTTATGATGCTCAGAGTGTCTCTTTAACAATATGAAATTACATCTTGTATAATGATATTTATAATAAGTCTAGGTATAAAGGTGTTATTAAACGTATAACATTCCATTAAACATAGTTATGGTGAAGCAGTGTCCAGATGCTGCGTAATCAAGGTAAATTGTCATGTTAACAGGGGTGTGACGCTCTAGTACCTCCACAAAGTTGGTATGCTTGGCATCCCTGACCGTAACCACCGCATGGACCTCTTCAATCAGCTTCTGCTTCTCATCATCGTCAAATTGCATGTACCACTTAGCCAGGCGAGTCTTACCGGCACGATTCTGTATCAGGATAAAACGAATCTAAGAGAAAAAAAAAAAAAAAGACAAAAAATTATATGGAGCAGCCTAGGAGTTACTCTTACTAATCTTAGGCAGCGCCAAAATATGTAAATCCCGGTGCAGCTCTAACATTAAACATCGTCCCTAAACTACCCTTCCCACTAGCCCGAACCTAGAACCATCATGTAAAATAGATTTGTAATAGTGAAAGGTGCATTAGAGGATAATAATGCTATCCTAAGATCAGAGGGTTTATTCGATAAACAATGAGCTGTAGTGAATTTATAAACAATTTTAAAAAAATAGCTCATTTGAAAAAAAATTCTCCTACTTGGAAAGATTCTAGTATGAATTTTGCTAGTCTGTTTTCAATTCATTACAATTTGGCGATTAGGGAATAACTGGGGTAGGTAGGTAGGTACCCTAGTCAATTTTACATACCATAGAATAGAGGAGGGGCTCCTTACAAATTTACTGTGATACAATAATGCCCCCCCCCCCCCTTTTTTAAATTTTAAGTATAATACAAGCTTTACCATTATACATAAACACTCAATGTATATGCAAGTATTAATAGATGTATTTTAATGGCCCATCATGTAAAACCTGAATTATTATGTGTACATATAACTGGAGCCAGTGTGAGGGTCAGTCTGTGTGTATTATATAGGGCTGGGAGGGTAGGGGTGGTAGCTGGGTGGGTGGGATTCTCTCCCTATTTATTTAGCAGTATCTCCCCATGTGAATAACTCTCCATTTAGTAAATAAGGCGATGTGTGTACCCAGAGCCTGACTCCATGCACTATTCATCACTAGGTGTCTGCCAGTCTCTATACAGATACATTATATACCCACCATGGCTGAGCTCTCTCCCTGCTGCTCTCCCTTCCCTTCCTGTCACCCGCTCCGGATTTCCGGAGGAACTACAACTCCCATGCACCACTGGGCGAGAAATCAGGAAGTGACGAGAGATGAGAGAGGCTTGAGACACAGAGCTGCGGTAATGCAGAATGACCAGCAGAGGGAGCTCTGTGCAATGAGCATTAAACTGATGGAATGCTTGTTACATTGTATCACTGGCGCTGTGTAAGTAACAAGGAGGGAGGGCAGTAAATGCACTTAGCTCACTGATTGCTATATAGCAGGCATAGGCAACCTTCACCACTGCAGATCTTTTGGACTACACCTCCTATGATGCTTTGCCAGCATTATGTGTGTAAGAGCATTATGGGGGATTTAGTCCACAACATCTGGAGTGACGAAGGTTGCCTATCCCTGCTACATAGACTGGTGCACAAATGTGTTTCAGCTGGGCCGAACAAATCAAATTCATTTTGCTCTACGCCCGAACGAATCGTTGGTCCAGTATTTACATTTACCTGCAGAGTCCTGTTTATTGACTAGAATCCACAGGTAAATCTGGGCGCGTCGATTCATTCCGGCATAGAGTAGAAAATGTATTTAATTTGTTTGAGCTGCCTGAAATGCATTTGTGCGCAAGTCTAGTGCTGTATAGAATAAACATTTATACACACTGCGGCGGATGTTGGATATACCCTGGGTTCTAATTCCATGACTGCAAATCATAATCCACTCCACTTCAAAATATTCTATATATGGGGCAAATTCACCAAACTGGAAATTAATGAAAAATGACCAGGGAATATTATATTTTAAGCTAAAATAGTAAATCTGTAAACATTCACGAAAAAGCATGTTTTTTTGGTGTCTAAAATTTGAATTTATTACGTCAAATTTCTAAAATTACACTGCTATCTGTATCTTTTAAAAAAATTATTATTATTTGAGAGAATATTTCAAGTGTTCATCAATGAGTAAGAAGGAACTGCATTATTATTATGTTATTATTTATATAGCGCCAACAAATTCCGCAGCATTCCGCAACATGTAGTTGTAACCAGACAAGTTGGACACACAGGAACAGAGGGTTTGAGGGCCCTGCTCAATGAGCTTACATGCTAGAGGGAGTGGGGTAAAGTGACCCAAAAGCTAAGGATAGCATTAGACTAATGACAGTTGCAAGAGAGGAATCAGTCGGGAGCTATTAACAGTTTAGTTGACATGCTTTTATGAAGATGTGGGTTTTTAATGATTTTTTGAAGGAGTGGAGACTGGGTGAGCATCTAACGGAGGAGGGAAGTGAGTTCCACAGGAACGGTGCAGCCCTCAAGAAGTCTTGAAGGCGAGCTTCAGAGGTGGGAGTACGGATAGAAGATAGACGTAAGTCTTCAGCAGATCGTAAGGGCCTAGACGGGACATACTTGTGTATTAGGGAGGATAGATAGGTGGAAGCAGCATGTAGAGATTTGAAAGCAAGAACCAGATATTTAAATTGAGCCCTATATCTTATAGGAAACCAATGTAGGGACTGACAGAAGGGTGAGGTATGGGAGGTGCGGGCACAAAGGAAGATGAGCCTCGCTGCCGCATTCATTATGGACTGTAACGGCGCAAGTTGGGAGCATGTAAGACTACTGAGAAGTGGATTACAGTAGTCAAGGCAAGAAAGGACAGTGGAATGGACCAGCACCTTAGTCGCATCTGGTGTTAAGTAGGGTCAGATGCGCGCAATGTTTTTGAGATGGAAACGGCAGGATTTGGCAATAGACTGAACATGAGGCTTGAAGGAGAGGTCGGAGTCAAAGAGAACACCTAGGCAGCGAGTCTGCGTGGTGGAGCTGATGGTAGCACCGTTGACTTGGAGGGAGACAGACACAGGAGTAACAACACTTGAGGGAGGAAAGACCAGAATTTCAGTTTTGGTCGAGTTGAGTTTAAGGAAGTGGGCAGCCATCCAGTTAGAAATAGCAAAGAGGCAGTCAGAGACACTAGTCAAGAGGGTCGGAGAGAGTTTAGGAGGGGACAGATAGATTTGCATGTCATCCACATAGAAATGATATTGCATTGAACTGCATTGAAAAAAAAAAACTGAGGGGGGCGGAGCCAGCAGCCATACTGAATGGACGTGTCTCAGGGGCGCTCTGAGCTAACCAAGATTAAAATCATTACATTCCCCTGCTTACTTACCGCAACTGACTTCATCGAGTGCCTCCTACTATACCTACGATGTGGGCAGGCCCGGACTGGCCATCGGGCACACCGGGCAAATGCCCGGTGGGCCGCGGTGTCCATGGGCCGAGGCCGGCAGGGGAGGTCTCAGGATCTCCCCTGCCGGTCTATGCAGGGCCGGCACTCTCCTAGCGCCGGCCCCGCTGTTTGCGACGACGGGCCGGTGAGGAGATCAAGGATCTCCCTGACCGGCCCACATGCGGCCGCCGGCGGGGAGAGAGGGGGGGAGCCAGCCAGGCTGGAGAGAGGACCCGGCGGAGCTCTAACTTGCAGCTCCGCCAGGTTCCTCTCGCGAGATCCGGCGCGTTGCCATGGCAACAACCGGATCTCGCGAGAGTGAACTCTAGCCTCACAGGCTGGAGTTTACTCACCCACGAGGACCACCAGGGAACACCGCCACCCCGCCTCCCAGTCCCAGCGCGTCCGTCCCTCCTTCTTACCTTTAGCCTGCTGCTTTTTTTTTTTTATTTACCCCCCCTACACACACACAATAACATTTATACAGCACTCACACACCCATCACCCACAGCACTCTCACACACAGCACTCTCACATCCATCACACACAGCACTCTCTCACACAGCACTCTCACATCCATCACACACAGCACTCTCACACCCATCACACACAGCACTCTCTCACACAGCACTCTCACACCCATCACACACAGCACTCTCACACAGCACTCTCACACCCATCACTCACACACAGCACTCACACCCAGCACTCTCTTACCCATCACACACAGCACTCTCACACCCACTGCCACACAGCACCTCTCACACAGCACCCCTCACATCCATCACACACAAAGCACTCTCACACCCATCACACACAAGTACCCCTCTCACACAGCACTCCTCACATCCATCAGCACACAGCACTCTCACACAGCACCCCTACACCCATCACACACACAGCACTCTCACACAGCACTCTCACACCCATCACACACAGCACTCTCACAGCCATCACACACAGCACTCTCTCACACAGCACTCTCACACCCATCACACACAGCACTCTCTCACACAGCACTTTCACACCCATCACTCACAGCACTCTCTCACACAGCACTCCACACCCATCACAATACAGCACCCCTCACACAGCACCTCACATCCATCACACACACAGCACTCACACCCATCACACACAGCACTCTCTCTCACCCATCACAAGACACAGCACTCCTCTCACACAGCACTCTCACATCCATCACACACAGCACTCTCACACAGCACTCACATCCATCAAGCACACAGCACTCTCACACCCATCACACAGAGGACTCTCTCACACAGCACTCTCACATCCATCACACACAGCACTCTCACACCCAGCACTCTCACACCCATCACACCCAGCACTCTCACACCCATCACACACAGCACTCTCTCACACCCATCACACTCACAGCACTCTCACAGAGCACTCTCACACACACACAGCACTCTCTCACACAGCACTCTCACACCCATGACACACAGCACTTTCACACACACAGCACTCTCTCACAGCACACTCACACACCCATCTCACACAGCACTCTCACACACGGCACTATCACACACACCGCACCCCTCACACACGCACCCTCACACACACACATACTGCACCCCTCACATACACACAGAACCCCCCAACATACTGCACCACACACATACACAATACTTCCAAATATATATATATATATATATATATATATATATATATATATATATATATATATAAAAATATATATATATACACACACACACACACACACTACACTCTTAGTGACTACTCTAGTTACCTGCATCACTTCGCCACAAAGTGGTCTTGGTGCCAGGGTCTCTAGGTTAACCTATTGTTTATAAACATGTAGTTTCAGAGAAACTGCTATGTTTAGTCAATGGGTTAAGTCTCAAAAGTCAGCAGCGTTCCTATTGACAGCCGCGTAGGGCGCTATGCGTTTTCACTGTGAAAAATTTCATACTAGAGACGCAGCGTCTATAGGAAAAGTATTATAAATGTTTTATAAGTGGTCAGCTGAAGTGCGCACGCAGTTTACGGCGCATTCAGCCACGGGCGATTGGAGAGAGCTCTCGCCCGGCGCTTGAAAATGTGTTTTAACCCTTCTGTGAGCCGTGGGCTGGAGGGGTCCTGAGCCATATGCATCACATTACACCACAAACACAACATGACTAAAACCGACCTTATTACACAATACCACACCACGACCAGCTCACTCTACACACACGCAATACCACAAGCAGGCTCCAAACACATGCACAATACTCTTTCCTGGCCTTTTGTCTCCTGGTATCCATTTATAGAGACACCAGAGACAAGTTGCAAGGAAACACAGTGCAAGCATGTTATTAAATTTGCTTGTACTGTGCAGAACAAATACAGGACTTTTTTCTCATGCTAGAGCTCTTCGCAGAGCTCTGCGCATGGTCTGCCCTGGAAGAGCATTGAACCAACATGCTCACTTTGAGAGGAGGCGTGTTTGTCATTGGTGATGACAAAACACACCTCCTCTGCCCCGCCCCCTTTTTGTGGGCCGCTGTGTTAAAAAAATGCCCGGGCCGAATTTTTCTCCCAGTCCGGCCCTGGATGTGGGGCATAAAAAGCAAAAAACAGCAGCTAGAAAAACAGCGATCTGCTGTGGAGGCTGCAAGATCCCACGAGGCCAGACATGGCGCCGCCCTCAGACTGGCCCTCCCGTTTGTCCAGCGAAGACTCTCTGGCCGACTTAAGGGTTCTCAGCTACTAGCTCTGAATAGGAGAGCAGACCAACCTCCAGTGCAGAGGTAACGCTGAAAGCCCTCCTAGATGATCTTTGGCCAAGTATCACAGCTGATATTGCTTCGATTAAAGAAGAAATCAATGGGGGTGTCGGTGCGCCTACACAATGCTGAAGCCAACACCA